AGAGTATCTGTCAAGTATCACATACCTCATCAATGAACAGGAGAGGGCCAGGCCAGGAGGAGCATGTGCCGATGAGTCCACCAGCAAAAGACCAAGAAGACTTGGCTCTGATACTCATCTTCCATGTGACTTTAGGGTAGTGACTTAATCACTCTGAACTTCAACTTCTTTCTCCAAACGCTTGTTTGTCAAGAACCTGCTCTATTCATTTCGCAAAATTGTGAGAGTAAATACAGATAATCTGTGTAAAACACTTTACAAATACAGTATAGATGGACTGGTTAGAGGAATGTTTTCATTGTTTAACAAGAGTTTAAACTAGAAGATTTTTGGAGAATTAGAAGCCAGGAAAAAATACTATACCATAAGAGGGAAAATTAATGTGCATCCCAATGAGAAACTCTAGAAAATATTTCATGTGGATACTGAGAATTTATGGATTAATAAGTCTTTGATCTTGATTAAAGTGTCATTATGTGATGATACTTAATCAAGCTATTAAAACGGACATAATCCTAAAAATAAAATATATTTCTACTAGGAACTGATCTTTTGACTCTTCTGGAATTTCAAAAAAATTATATCGACTCTTTACGTGATATGTACCTCATGTTCCCAAATGATGTGTTTTATACACACAGCATAAAGTCTTCCTCTAACTGCTGAACTTGAAAAAAACATGCATGTACCATGTCCAGTGGCATAATGTCGACCTTGTATTTTCAGTAACAAATTAGTATACAAAATGGCTCAGTCAGGGATCAAAAAGGCCAGTAGGAGAGTAATTTATTTTCCTAAGGATTTTGCTTCTTCATCATAAAAAAGTTTTTAATTAGAGCATATATATGTATACCATAGAATAACCTCCTTTAAGCTACAAAGTTATTACATTAAATTCAGATGAAATCAGCATTTCAGTACAAAAGTATGGATGTTTGAAAAACAATTATTAGATAAGAATGTAAAACTATCATGTCAAAAAAATGAGATGAAAGGAATAACATCTATTGAGTATAATTTCTGCACCAAAAGTACTGAATAATGAAACATGTGAAAACATGAAAAATGATTATGTAAAATGCTTAAATCCAATTTTAGAAAGAAGAAACTGGTGTTCAGAGAATTTAAGAATATATCTAATTTTTTTTTCTTTTTTTTCTTTTTTTTTTTATAGTAGAAAGAAGAAAAGTTTTATTAGAAGGGAAAGTACACTTTCAGATGTGGGCCTGAGCAAGAGAAGTGTGTGAAAAGAAAAGTTTTATTAGAAGGGAAAGTATACTCTCAGATGTGGGCCTGAGCAAGAGAAGTGTAGCTCAAAAGGCTATATCTAAAATTTTATAGATTACAAGTGACACACCAACATTTGAACTTGTGTTTGACTTAATCATCCATTTTTTATTGGAGAAATACTGATTGAATCCAAATGATCTGCCAGGCGCTGTACATGAAGCTGGTGATTCAGAGATGTACAAAATAGAGATTGTTTTCAGTATCCAGAGATCTGAATGGAAAGATATCAGAAATAATGCAATAAAGATAGACGACTTTTTCATTGATCTTTGGATTAGAACTCCAGGATTAGATTTTAGGGATACAGTTTTTCTGGGACACTGGAAACCTAGGGGAGGGTGTTGATTACAGAGAACAGGGCACTGGGGATCCTGGCATTTTTTTCTATACCCTTCCACATCCCAGGGGAAGGGTGTGTAGTCTTCCTTTCTAAGTTTGTTTCGAGAACCAGTCATCTTTAGAGTTTATAAATATTCTTTTAAGTGGAAGTCATAGAGTTTAAATGTAAATTCTTGCAAGATGGTGATGTAAATATATTTAGTTAATTCCGACAACATCTTGTTGCACAAAGAATGTTATTGGCTGTGCTGTACCCCATGGAAAAACCAAGGTGAGAGGGAAAAGGCAGAGCAAGACATGCTGCTCAGTTCTGGATAACACTTCACCATCTACTCAGTTCTATGCTTTTTCTAAAATATCAAGAGCTTGAAGCAAATGTCTTTATGATCATTTCCTATTAGTCTAAACCACCTGGATCACTGTAAGGAAAATCAGTCATAAAAATCGAAGGACTTCTGATAAGTGATGTTGAGCTCTCATCTTTATTGTATAATAGATGTGCACAAAATTTGTAATCATTTAGTGATAAGAATGCAAAGTTAAAGCTTATTGAAAAATATACCTTTTCTCATGGATCCTTTGCTTATCCAAGTCACTTTTAGCACATCGGAGGATGTGTTCAGTGGACTGTGTTGCATTGCACGTAGAATTTTGCAATTGAGGCAACAGATGGTAATATAGTTCTCTCTTACTTTTAGTATATATTATCATGTATACGATAGTATACTTTTAGTATATATATTATCATGTTACCTCAGTTGCAAAATTCCATTATATATTATATATAGGAATTATATATATATAATGAAATTTTGCTGAGGTAGTATATGATAATATATACTAATAGTACAAGATAAATATATTATCATATATTGCCTCAATTGCAACATATATATTTTGCATGTATATACATATATATGTATACACATGTATACATATATATGTATATATATGTGTATATATGTATATGTATATGTACATATATGTATATATATATATGTGTATGTGTGTGTGTATACATATATATGAAATATATTATCATATATTGCCTCAATTGCAACATATATATTTTGCATGTATATACATATATATGTATACACATGTATACATATATGTGTATATATATGTGTATATATGTATATGTATATGTACACACAGGTATATATATGTATATATACATATGTTATGTATATGTTATACATGTTATGTATATATACATGTATATACCTGTGTGTACATATATGTACATATATGTATATATGTATATATAGATGAGAGAGATATTAGGTATAAGTGCCAATTTATAGGTATCTCCTTGAAGATTACTATTTTTCAGATAGGGCCGTAAAGATAAAATTAAAAATATTCATGTATTTAGAGACAATAAAGAAAGAAGCTATACATATTAGACGTTTTTTGGGCTGTGGTGGTAATTTGAAGGCCAAAAAGAAGCAAACATGATTTTCTGAATTTTGGCCATGTTTCAGCCTTTGATAGAAAGACTATTCAGTGTGGTGTGAAAACAGCTTGCGGCCGTTATGCCTCAGCAACGGCTTCAGCTGGGTCTGTTCTTTAACCCACATTGATCCTTGCATTTTTCTCATGTAAAATGTGATCTGACACCAGCTCTGCCTGGAAGTTCTAGTGTGGAAGGTACAGTGCTTCCTCAAGAATATCATGTGTTAATTACTGAGCAAGACATAGTTTTAACAGAGCTTGGCAAGTGCTATGACATACATCTGCATATAAAAAGAAAGAGCAGGATCACTCAATCTGGACGGCTACAGTGAGAAAAAATATTCTATAGGAAGTGCTTGTTGATCTGAGTTTTGATATAGAAATAGGAGTTTTAGCTGAGAATTAAGCGTGGCAAGAAAAATGTTAATGGCAGAGAAAATGATATTCGTTTTACTCTTATATGATGAAAAGATAAGTGTGATAGAAACGATTATTTGGAAGAAGGGGGACATTATATTTCAAGATCACAAAGAACATTTTTATGGAAGATTGAGAACTTCTGATAAATGGCTAATTTTGAGAACTTTGAATAAATAGGATAAAATGTATACATAAATAGAGGACAAAATCGATTTTTGTGCTACTTTATGTCATGAAAGTGTTAGGAGTTGAGGGTGGGCTTTTTTGCTGTGTCTTAAAGTCATCCCCTCTCCTTCAGCTTCTGAACTAAATAGACAAGAAATAGTAATGATAGAAAAAAAAATGGTTTTGATTTTCGGAATGCACCTTTACCTTATAATACAAAATGTTGATAAGATCTGCATTGAAAAAAATTTAGTTACTGGTCTAAATAAGGGTTTTTTCTTAATATCCAAATAAAATTTGTTAGGCAGTACAAGCCTCTTCAATGACAGGATTTAGATAACTACAAAAAATTAGAAAAAATAGAAAGCTGCTCTACATCTCTAGGACCTCACTTAGCCTAGTATATGGAAGGAAGAAATATAAGATGAAGCATTTACATATACAATACTGTCTCTACACTTATAAGTAGTCAGAGTCTCAAGGGATGTTGTTGGATGTGAATTATTAGATGTTGATCTGTTTCTTGGCATTTTAGTGGAGTTGGAAGTATGCAAGTGCAGGACGGGTGGGAGAGTCTGAAAAAAGTTGCAATGATTCAAAAGAGGACATGGGAATTATTTTTTTCCTAAGGACGGAGGAAGACATTATAGAAATGAGTAGAGAGAAAAGGCAGCATTTTCCTACAATGTTCCAAAACATTGTTATATAAGGTATTTATTTAAAAACAAGTGGTTCTAAAATTGGTGTTAGTTTTACTTGGGGCCACATGAGTCTATTGAGAAAATTCTTTGGCAGAGTGAATTCAAATGATGCTCTTTAAATAAAAGCAGAGTGCCCATATAATGAGCTCATTTTAAGCAAAGCATTATTGATTGTCAACAGTGACTGGCACATAATATGTAGTCGTTTAAATATTTGTTGGCTAAGTCAGGGGAGGAATGGTATGTTCTGCCAATTACTGACAGTATATAAAGGTCCAAGGCAAGCAGAAGACACAGACACTTCAGAACATCCTCTTGCAATCCACCTGAGTTCTCTTCTCTTGACACCATGTGTGGCAGCTACTACGGCAAATCCTGTGGCTATGGCTGTGGATACGGCTATGGCTGTGGATTTGGCCCCTATAATGGCTGTGGTTATGGCACTAGATATGGCTGTGGATATGGAACTGGATATGGCTGTGGATATGGAACCGGCTATGGCTGTGGATATGGAACCGGCTATGGCTGTGGATATGGAACCGGATACGGCTGTGGCTATGGCTCCGGCTGTGGCTACTGGGGCTACAGGCCATTGTGCTCTAGAAGATGTTACTCTTCTTGCTGGTAGAACATCACATCCAAGTGTCGTCTGCTTCTGAAGTGGCACCTCTAAAGATAATACCGACTCAAGCATCTGTACCTCCAACGACCCATTTCTTAGAATGGCATCTTTGTGCCAAAAGGCTCTGTGGTATCATCTGACTATTTTTCAAATATTAATATCTGATTGTCTGTTATGACCGTTGATGATACAGACATCCTAGAGCTGGGCACATTACCATTCTCAATAAAAATGTTTATTGTTTCTAAGAAATCTGCGTGTACTTGCTTGTGAATTCCTTCATTTTGAAGCATTATGAGTCCTTTGGAAAATTGGGCTAACGATATGCTACCTCGTGTTTTTGTTTGATATAATACAAGCATTTATTCTTATACTAGCATCCAAAATCATGTCTTTTTCACCTATTTTTCACGTCTCACCGGCTCAGGCTCTCACTCACCTACACAACCATAAATTACACTACTTTAGAACGGTGCTTGGGAATCATACCATATTTAGAAGAAAAACAAAATG